TAAAAAAAAAAAAAAACCCAGAGGAGACCCATGCACAGATTGGCGAGTATCACATACAGCTGCTATGAAACTTCAATTCTTAGCAGCATGCTCCGCCTTATTCTTCGACCCCTGGTTCAATGACAATTTCTTGCTCTACATATAAACAAAACACTTTCTGCCTCATTTAATTTTGACTTCTCTAGTGAATTATCATGGAGTGTCCATAACTGAAAAGCAGACACTGCACATGGCACAAGCATAGCATACACCCGTTCTTTCATTTCTCTTCCAACTTTATACACTTAAAACACCTATTTACTTGTTAGCACTCCTAGCCATTTTATCTCAAGCTAGGAGTAAGATTTCCAAATGCATTGTTAACTCATCTCTGGCTTCTAATCCAGAAGGCCCTTTGGGCTCTCCAGCGAATCCCCAGAATAAGACCCATCTGGCTGACGAATACAGATGTTCAAATTGCTAGAGAGGAAAGGTTCCTGCAAGATCATGAGAATACAATTACAATAAACTCAAGATTTCTACTGGTGTCCAAAGTGCTTTAATGGCAATATGACCCTGATTAATCTCTCCATGCATTTTAGTAAGTTACCATTAATATCAATACAGCTGAAGCAATGTTTAATACTTTGGCATTTTACTGTTGATATTGATGTGGGCACTAGGCAGACAAGACCACAACGGGGGGTCAATCCATTGCTCAGCTGTTTCACTCCATTCCTCGCCAGAAAAAAAGAACAGGCTTTATACTTTTATAATGATTTGAAATATTTTCTCCCCAAATAGAAGAGTACTCATGTTTTCAATTTGCTAATATTACAATCTTGCATAGGTATTTTGCCCTAGTCATAAATTCCCATGAGATATCAAGAATAAGTTAGAGAAGTTTTCCTTTTACTTCTATCCTTTTCTTTTTCTTGGCTGTCCAAATGAATTGATTTCAGGCAACCCCATTTCTTCCAAGCACGTAAAACATAAAAGTAGAACAAGTAAGATGCAAGCTTACAAATTATTTTTACCTACACCTTATTTGCACTATTTTTCACCTGGGTTTCTACCAACATGCCTACATATGACTGAACTAGGGTGAATTAATGCATTACTATTTGCACTATACTCACCTGAGTTTCTACCTACATACCAATATGACCGAATTAGTGCGAATTAAAGCAACACTAGGGTTCATTTATCTAA